CCCGCCACACTAAGGGCGCTTTTTTTTTTTTTTTTTTTTGCTCCAATCTATTGGTGGGGAGCCGCACCTGCTGGAAAACGGGTCCAGCGTCCCTTTTGAATATTGCTGAGTCAACGGCAGTAAGTATGAATTTGGCTGCCAGCATTGGCTGAACATCACAGGTGGCCAGCTAAGACCCTCTCACCTCACCCATCCACCTTTCCCCATTACCTGCTTCCGTCCCGCAACTAGGGACCCATCCGGGGACACTAGGGGGCACCCTCACACTAGGCCCTCAAATCACAAATGAGCGCGCAGGTCGAGTCGTTCGTTTACAAGGACTCAATCTGGCCGCTCATTTTGCGATTTTGCGGTTTTGAGGGCCTAGTGTGAGTATGCCCTAATCCAAATACATGGCTGGTGGGACCTCCCTCCTGATCTACCATTTCGGCACAAGGGGACTCCTATCAAGAGCTACAGTTAGAGTCTTGTTCGACACCACTTGAAAATACTTGAGTTTCAAGTGCACACTAAATGAGAAATTGTGATTAATTCACACTTACTCAATTTATGGTTCCATGTTCACTTGAGGAAACCCTTGAACAGGCTGCACTTGAAACGGAACTCACAGCTTGACCATCCTGGACCAGGATCGCCTGCTGGGAGAAAAAAAAAAAAAAAAAAACCCACTTGGAGTGCTAGCAGTATCCGCTGAACTTGAACTCAAGGCACCTCCAGGAGGTGACTTGAATTCAAGGGCGATTTTGGGCCCTGTTCGACACCACTTCGAATTTGCTGTTTTTCAAGGAAGCGTCATTCTACCCCGCCCTAATGACGTACGCTTGAAATCGGTAATCATCTCCACATCACCGCGGCCAAGTGTCTGCCCTTGAAACGGAAGTGCGGCCCAGCCAAATCAACGAAAATCCCAAGGGTGCCTCGGGAGGTCACTTGGGGCTCAAGGGCTGGACCCTACAAAACGGGTAATATAAGGACCTTTTTTTTTTTTGCTTTTTTTTTAGCACTTCAGTTTCAAGGATGGTTGTCTCAAGGCTTTGGTCAAGGGGTTGTGGAACAAAAAAACAAGTTACGGGAAATTAATCACCTTCCGTGAGTTAGGGTGCCCTTGAAACTCAAGTATTTTCAAGTGGTGTCTATGTCACCCTTGTTGCGTAAAGTCTCTGAGGATCCCAAACAGCTCCGCGGTCGCTGGCTAGGGCAAACGGCCGTACTTTGTTGTGGCTTCCTGCTGATCCAACATTGCTTATACAATTTTCACTGGTTAGGAGCAAGCACTTAAAAACCAAGTACCAATAAGCGTGTAGTTGTTCCAGCAAACGACACCTTGGGACGCAAAAAAGTGAAAACAAAGGGGATAGCTCTGAAGGGGTGAGTTCCAAGAGCGCACCCTTGGGATGCAAAAAAGTGAAAACAAAGTGGGTCGCTCTAAGGGGGGGTGGAACGATGATTTTTCGCTTCGCTCTTGAACTCGAGTGGTGTGGAACGAGGCCCTTACAGTAACCCTACCGCTGCCATGCCGGCACCAGCGGAGTCCCTGCGCAGGTTCCATGCTCTGTAATTTAAAAAAGAGAAAAAGAACTGCTCTCTAATCGTTCCGCATGTCCCGACGGACGATACTACCAGGGTATACGGGTAGTCTTTTTCGTCGTGTCGTTTAATCGGCAGGCCTGGAGTGAGGTCTTTTTCTTCAAGTCGTGCACCCCGCTCTCCGCCTCTTCGCAGGGAAGCAAGGCAGCTATGGTGGCAGCTATGGCAATGGAGATGGCGGGTCTTGGGACAACGTGTTTGTCTTGGAGCTCGTCGATCTCGAGGGACGTTAGCGAAGCGCCGGCTGCAACGTGGAAGGCCTCATCATCGTCCTCCACGTGGCATTGCTTCGTCCCACCCACATCAAGAGGCTCTGGAGGCTCGGATAGATATCTTCCAGCAAGCAATCGTCTCAGCACGCCACGTGGCGTCCCCTCGTCAAGAGCGCCGCCACGTGGGGGTTCTATCCGCCATTCTCTTGATGGGGCGGCGCCACGTGGCGTGCTGAGACGATTGCTTGCTTCCCCACCTCCAGGACACGTGGAGGAGTTTCCTAAAGGGGAAGGGGGGCAATTGCTTGATTCGGGACGGCGATGGCTGGGACGTCGTCTGCACGCACGTGCGTCGACGGCTCCGGCGACCGCACCGGTCGCAGAGGGAGTCGCCGAGCAATCTGACACGTGGCGCAATCCCATTGGCTTGCATGCCATGGTCTGGGTGGGCGGCTGGAGTGAGGCCGAAGTGCGGCGCGCTGTGGAAGGCTCTGCCAAGCTGGGTTATGACTCTGTCTCTTATACACATCTAGATGTGTATAAGAGACAGCTCGTTCCTCTCTTCCTGTCTTCCATGCTTCTTCTCTCTCTCTCTCTCTCTCTCTCTCTCTCTCTCTCTCTCTCTCTCTCTCTCTCTCTCTCTCTCTCTCTCTCTCTCTCTCTCTCTCTCTCTCTCTCTCTCACACACACACACACACACACACACACACACACACACACACACACACACACACACACACACACACACACACACACACACACACACACAATCTGTGCAAGTGGGATCTCGTCCCAGGAGAAGAGACTCGTTGGGGTCGGGATATATCACATCTTGATTCGTCGTTTTCCCAGACGTAGATATAATTAGTTGCTGACGAATTTACAATGATAATTAAAAAAAAAGGAACAATGATTACTGCTTATCCTAATGATGAATGAATATGAGAGTGACAATCAACGGCCAAATTGATTTGGAAACAGAGGGGCATACTTCGGTAGATAAGAATACAAGAAGCTGTGCATATGCCTCTGGTCTCAGATGATAATATAATAACTTTATGATAATAATTATATGATAATTACTTATACGATAATAATTTTATATGATCGTAATTATCTAGAAAAAAAATGTAGTAATAATAATATGAAGAAGAACAAGAAAAGATCCTCGACGTATTCCTACTACCGTCTTCCACCGAACACAACGCACCCTCATTTTGGCTGTATCTGGCCGGAAATATAACTTGTATACATTCATTTTAAGGGTGCGTTATGTTCGGGGGAAGACGGTAGTGGTTGTTCTCACACGAATGATGGAGCTGTGAGCGTTGGCATGTGATTTTTTTTTTTTTTTTTTTTTTTAGACAAAAAGGGAGAGCTTGCATTATATGAATTAACCACGGAGGTCGGGAAATATACTAATGAAGTAAACATTAAAAAAAAAAAAACCCAGTGACGTCAATAAGGTGAACTGACCCTCGGAGCAGCATTTAAACAGCCCAAAAAAAAAAAAAAAAAAAAAGCATTTATAACAGCCACGAAGTACGATATTGCAAATTCTTATGCATGACTGTTAAAACTAATATAAGGTAATAAAGGAGGAAATAATGACAGTGATAATATAAAATAAGGACTTAAAAGGCCGATGGAGATCTAAATAGCGGCCCCGTTAATATGTTTGCAAGGCCAAAATTCACCCCGTCAGGATGCACGTGCGCCTCAGCGCATCCAGATTCATCATGTTCGCAAGATCATGCACTGGACTGGGGTGTTTTGCGAATTATTGTGCACGAATGTTATAATTAATGGCGTAATAATGGAATAAAATTCAATAAATAATAATGTTGTCCTCTTCTCCCTCTCTGCCTACGGTTTACCGGGCAGCTCTGTTTGAAGATATATACTATATATAGTAATAATGGTTCATATACTTCAAAGGATGAAAGAGATATAGGTATACCGGCCGTTCATGTGTTGGAAAGGCCAAAATTTACCCGGTGAGGATGCACCTGGGCCTTAGCACAGCCAGATTCATCATGTTCAGCAGATTCTGCACTGGGGCATCCGCACATCAAGGTAGATTCCCGGTCGCGTTGTTTTTGCATCTGCCTACCTGGGCTATCCGTTTGTGTGCTTTCTCTAATTATTAATTAATTAAAGGGATAGAAAAAAAAATCAAAATGACGATTGCCGCCTTACCCCGAGCATAACGCACCCTGGTTCTGAATGTATACAAGCCATCTTTC